CTGCTTGTTTTCCCAGGCAGAAGTCCAAATTCATTTCAATTTAAGAGGGAGACATCCTAACTACGTAGCTATGACATTCCATTCAATAATCAGATTAAATATATCCAATGTTTGACTAAGGACAAATTCAGCAGTCTCAGTTTAAACAATTATGCCCTGGCAATTGAACATTTTACTTCTGTTCATATTGAATAAAGCATTAAAAAGTTTTGATTGATTGAACGCTGCTCCAATTTCTATCGTACTCGGGGTATAATTATGAACCACAATAGTTCGGGTTTGCCAAATTTTTTTGCTATCCGCTCAGTGCTTTTGCGGGGAAGTTATCGAGTGTACGTAGTAGACGATCGCGAATATCCTAAATAACGCACAGTAGCGCGTAAGTAGCAGCAGCAGCAGCAAAGGCTTTAGATCAGAAGGCTGTGGCGCTCACGGATAAAACTCGGATCTCTGGTAGTAAAATACGCGGCTTAATTGCTTAATTTCTCACAAGTAAGCCCTCGCTCAGCGTCGGCGAACAAAGGCGTGCACCCCGTTACTTTAGCCTTCTTTCTATTACGCGCTATCAACGTTGCTCGTCGCGTGACACTTTAATTATGCAGCCGCGCCACGCCGTGTAAAATTCAACTAAAGCTAAACCCGCGCATGCTGAAAACTCGATTCGATTGCCAATTAACCTGTTCCATGCCAGAATCACCTCTTCATGCGTTCCTGCACACTGTTTTTGCATATCCGTCGTAGATTTAATCTATTAATGCAAACTCAGTTCTTTTTTTCTGAATGTTTTCATCAATTATAAAGAATTATACTGTTTGGAGTTACTTGATTCTCTTCCTTTTCTTCTGGGAGTAGATTATATGTTATACTTCATGATAAAAGTTAATTCAAATGACGTGAAATATAGATGTTACATACAGAATATGAAGGTTCTTATTACAGAGGCTCACGATTTCTTAACATACGTCAATAAACGATTCATTTTTTCGTACGGATACATAGTTCTGATATTATTCGGATAATCAAGATGAAAGCTCCGCAGATGTACAAATGCTACTGCTTCGGGTACAATTGTATGTACATATAGATAATTCATGATGAACCCATTCCCTAGGTTTCGATACTTTCCAATCTTTACTAAGTGTCTGCTATACGTAGGCAGCGTTTTACCACGGCGTAGATGAAATTTCAGTCTTTCAGCTATTCCTGGGATTAAATTGCTTCTAATTCGACTTGACGTGATAACGTTTTATCATTAAATTCTACTGATCCAGCTCCTTTAATACTATCCGGTTCTATAAGAAAACTTTTACCCCGCACATTTCACACTTCTATTTCGTTATTACACTCTCGCATTGTTATTAGACTTTCGTTAACTTAATATTTCACTTAATGATACTTAACACTTATGCGTCCTATGCAAAATTCACCATTCTTTTTTTTCTTTCAAGGATGAAATTAAATATGACTATTAATCAATGAAAAAAATGGGTAACCCGCGTTGATTCGGCGATTTATGGTATTACTTTACAAACAATTTACGGTCCGAGATTTATAGGCCGTTCAAACTTTTACCTCCTTTCGGGGTTTGCCCGTGTATTCGTTTTCTCGTTCTTCGTTCCCCTTTGCCATAATTCCATCGGAACGCACGCATCACTTATTCTGTCATTTATTGCTGGTAATAGAATAAAAGATCCTCGCTGTTCTTACACTACTACTAATTGATTGATGTGCAATTCTTGCCCTTCTGCGTACGCTGTGAAAGGATCGATTCCATCCCCATTTCCTTTGTACCGAACAGCATTCTTCTGATCTCATCAACATGTTAACGACTCGTCATTAATTTTCGTTAATTGCAGTTTCTCTCAATTGATTCGAGACGTTTAATTTCTGATTGATTATGGAAATTGTATGATCCAGAGCTTAGAGTGGAGGTGAAACCGCACAGAAATTTTATCACTGATCATTAATTAGAATATATCTGATTCGCATCGAAAGCTAGTAGAACCGGATAAATTGAATATAATCTGCAAATCACATATCAGTTTATAACTAGTTTAATGGTACAATGATCCGGGATTATCCGCAGTTCATATTAATTACGATTCCGCATCCAGCACTTGAAGATTTGAACAATTGGCTGGAATTCGGCGCGGCAGTAACGACGATTAACAAGCGTCTGATTTTCTCAGAGGAAATACGTAATTGTTCCAATGTACGTGTAACATTGCAGGCACGTAGGTACTGCGAAGCCAGACAGCTATTAATCTTACACCGTGCATTTACATATATTAAAGTATATGAGGTAATTGATGCATGTGGCTCGCGACACACGTAGCTTTCGCTTTGATCATCTGCACAATTGTCTGGCTGGGATATATACTTCTACTCGGGATACGAGGTTACTTATTCAACATGTTTATTTTAATGCCGTTATCGACGTGGTATCAACCGTGTAATTGTGATTGTTACCGTGAAATCTTGGTTCTAAATTAATTTTCGTAAGGTATTCACTTGCAAGTGAATTTCCAATACTTTACAAATTGTATTAATGACGTACTTCTGGTATATGAAGTAATGTGTGCGCCGCGGCGTCTTGCGATAGTTTAGATAGTTCAAGAAAATTTTCTCGAAGCGTTCATTGATATAAAGAATTTTATTAGACAATGTGTAAAGAAGTAGATTGCAATTCATGGGGCAATGTATTAATTGCAACGATAGCGAATTTAATCCTTCCTCACAGCGGCGTGATTTCAGTTTCAGATAAAGGAAATGAACGAGTAAAATTTTTCAGTCACAGAATGAAAGATGGTGGGAGCCGAGATAAATAGATTCACTTGTCCACGTCGACCGAGGAACGTAATTTTATATCTATAGAACCGATTCCCGTTCGCTACTTAATTGTTCTAATTGAACGTAGAAGTTTGTGAAAATAAATGAAAAGTAGCCTGGGTCAGGCTTCGCGTAGAACGGTCACCCGTGATCGTAAAGATCGCCGGCAAGAAAATTGTGTAAGTTCCCGTAGAGGAATTTCTTTTACTTTATTTAATAGTTCCCGGCGCGGTGCGACGTCTCACTTTCGAGAAATGGTCCCTTTACTTTGATTAATGTTTCCTATGTGATGGGACCTGCATCATTCAGACAGATTTTCGTTTGCAAATTAAGCTCCCAGTTTTTAATCCCCGTGTCATGAATATTTATGTCCCACCATCGGTTTTTCATTTGAATCAATTGGAAAACCAATAAAATGTTTTTATACGTCTATACATATAGGATTTTTGATCACCCTTTTGGTTGAATTATAGCAATGTAAATAACTTCTTAATAACAAATATATTTCATGCGATTTAGAAGACATAATTAGCAATTTCAAAATGTTATATTAGTGTGCCACGAGAAATGAAATTATTATAGATAATTTGGAGAGTTAATCTGTTCACTACTCTATGTCTATGGTACCCATATGCCAGATTAAAATTTTTCTTTGCGCAAGAGTTTGTCCACGTATGAGACACAGGAAACTCGTTTCGCCTCGTCATTACAACCAGAGAGCAAATTTAGATTGTAGACCTTCAGCGAACAATGTTAATCCTATTTCAACGCGATTTATTCAACAGAAAAGCAGGAAATCGTTTTATAAAGATAAAGGTAATACTGTTCAACTGACGATAGAATTCCATGGATTTATGCAATTTCAAGAAGCACGTTACAGGATTCACAGAGACACGTACAATCTGAGTATGCTATTGACATTTAATTTAAAAGCAGAATTTTATCTTCGTGGCAAGCAGAGTCAGCGAGCTTCAAGTATTATATTTCCATTTCATAGTTTCGAGTGATTTTAAAATATAGTTGAACATAAGTTCTTTTATGGAAAGATGAAATTCAATTTATTTGTTAAGTTCTATACAGTCCCAATTTAATGGAAAATCAAGTTGTCATTTCCAATCTCTTATTTTTCACAGATTTATTTGACTGTGATTCCATATTTTATGGTCATTAATTTTTTCTCTATATTTCCATAATCTCTGCAAAATAAATATTTCTTTCAAGCAACGTATCGAAATATCTGCCATTTTATCGCAAAAATTGAATAGTGTTCCGTGTAAAGTAATTTTCTTTTGCCGCCGCAATCGGCCCCTCCAGTAGCTACGGACATCTGACGGAGGAAGCTCCAGATCCCGGACGTGCAGCAACCCTCACTAAAATCAAATAATGCGCGAAAACGCTTCCGCACTCGACGTCTTTTTTCCTGCCTGCTTTTTCCCCCTGGGTACTTCGCCCGCACGAAGTTAACACGGTTTAACTCGAAACACTATACCGTGCACAATCTCCAGTAGTGATTTCTCAACTCTCAATGCCGAGTCGTCTGAACAGAAGTCTTCATTTTACTAAGATGAATGAGTTCGTGTCCTCAAGTGAAATTATGCTTTATTAATTGTATGTGAAAATTTCATCAGGAATAATTGGTTGAATTGTTTCAAATTTAGGATGACGCGAGATGTGCAAATTCATGTTTGAACATCTTTGTATTATTCATTTCATTTTGTAATTGGTTTCCTGATTGGAATTATGTACATGTATTCTCAATTCATATTCCAACATTTCTTATGAATCATTAATCAAGTTCATGTATAATCTGGATGCCATGGCTACATGTCATTTATGCATGATGTCTGATATTGTCGTTGCAGTTTAAATGTTCTGCAGATGAAATTTAATAGAATTATGAAGTATAAAGAAAATAGTAGCGTTAGTTTAAAATTTTTACTGATTGTGATAAATCCATAAATTAAAATTTAAGCAGTTTTCATGTTAGACCATTGAGTTTTTATTAATATTTTAAATGGATAAAACTTTTTACTTTCCACAGTTAGAATTGGGTGTATTTCGAAATTACAGCGAATGCATTTACTTGAAGATATCAATGAATTTCGTTTGAAATGAAATAAATGAAGGTGTAAAGTATAGTCTATTTTATAGGCGCGTTTTGCCGTTCTTACCGATTACGAAAACGGCGAGTAGGACGAAAAGGGACGCGAAAAGGGAAGGTCGCGCTTCTCGATAACTTGTGACACTTCTCATCATGTCTCCGTTCCGTAACCATTCACTCATTTGCGTTCACGCTCACGGTTCACTGGCCTTTGTTCATATCATCGACACTCGTCTTGTTGTCTACGATCACCTACACTCTCAGAAGGATTCACGAGAAACACTTTTCACCAAACTGAAACAAATCCCTCGTTCATACGTGCATTCGAGATACACTGGGTAACTGCGAATCGTTTCGCGGGAACGGCACCAGGAAATCGAATGCAATTTAAAAAAAAAGAAACGAAATTAAAAGAGCGCAGCACGACGGGCAAGATTATTCGATTCGTCGATCCTCCAACGAGCGATGGCGCGGTGCGCGTCCCGAGACGACGACAACGGCGACGTGACGCGAAGAGCTCTTCCGGTCGAGGTACAAACGGCTACTGAGGCTCCCGCCGCAAGCACGGAAAGCTTCCAGTGCGTCGACTCGGTCGTGCAACCCGAAAGCTCGCCTCCCTTGCCCCGTGCAATCTCCCCTTGTCGGTTCGTTCTCTCCTTCGTCATCCCCCACTCGGACCCGGCATCCCCACCCACGATTTTGTTTCACCCCCTCAGCCATTTTAGCATCGTCGTCGTCGTCGTCGCCGCCACCGCCGTCGCCACCGTTGCCACCGACGCCGCCGCCGTGATCACCCGCTCCAGCCAGTGCAGGCTGCGCACGCGAGAGAGCTTTCGCAGCATCCGAAAGCTCCGGATGGATGGATCGTGGAAGGGGTGATTGATTGGCGATGAAACTTCGCGACTGATTGAATCTTTTTTACGTTTCAATATCGATATCCCCAAGTGGGATATATGCCGCATGCCGGAACTCCTCTGCTCAGCCACCGAGTCGAGTTACTTCCGTCGCGTCGACGTTGGCTAAAGTTCGAGAGGGATGAGGCTCTTTACGCTGGAGCCCTGCGAGTAATTAGGGTTCTGGAGTTTGACGGCAACGCATCACGTGGTCATCTTGATGTATTGCTTTGCCTCGACGGATGTCAACCAACGAGGAACCCTCCGCTTCAACCATACCGGAAAGATCGAACGATCGTTTTGCGTGTCGCAGGAATTCCATTTCACTGCATCCATCTCGTATTTTTGATTCTGATCGATTCTCAGAATAAACTGAACTCGTAATTTGACAAAATAATTGCGCATACGATGTCGATTAAAAAATGAAAGGAGAAAATTGTATTATAAATGTTTTATACAAATATTTTATCTCACAGTAATTCGTAAACATTTGATCACTTTGGTCAGACTCGAAGCTAGGACGTCGGTGATAGAGAAGATGGCAGGTGCGAAATTGTTGAAGATAAAACGGAGCGACTGAAAGGTACACAGCAGACAGTGCGCTCAATCAAAATATCGGCCGGAGTTTGTATTTCCGTTTGACGGGACGCGAAAGCATTCCGCGATTTCACAGAGCGAGGGGTGGCTGATGCTACATCAGCGGACAAACATCGCGCTTAAACTTGCTTCTCCCTTGCCGGCTCCTTTACCTGCTTGACGACCGCCGCGTCGCAACGCGTTTCCACTGACATCCTCCGTTTCTGGTAATGCCCGTGCCTTGTACCCACAGCACTGTACACTATAGCCACAGACGACGACGTAGGCCGCTTACTGCACACCTGGAAATTTCGTCGAGCTACCGCCAATGTGTGAGTTAATTTGTCACTCTCCTGATTCCTTTATACGATCCCTCTTCTCTCCTTTTGCGCTCGAATCCCTGATCCCTTGCTCATTTCGTCGGTGGCAAATAACCACAAGCTGGAAACGGAATGTAGATTTCCCTCAACAATACTAACGCTCTAGTCTATCCCTGTTAGCCTCTCGTCTTTCCTTCTCACCATATTATAAAGCCGTCTTTAATCGAAACTAAATGAGGAACTTCTGTATTGATTAATCATGCATCGTGTCAACTCAGAAACAGAATTTAAAAATTCGTGCATATCGTCATGGGAACATTCTTTCGTACGTATATAAGTACAAGTAAATAAAAGTATATTGTATCACGAACAAGATGGAGAATTTCCTACTTATACTCGTTACAGAGGATCAAGAGCGAGGTGAAGTGTGGCACTAATAACGCAATACAAAACTAACTTGGACTTGATGTTCAACGCAGACTTAATCTTAACTCCTCCCTCCCGATTCCTCCTCAAAGCAAGTTAAATCTCATCATACTGTATCCATCTAGGCTAAGTTTAAGCTAGTTTAGGTACTTTAACTGCAGCTGGATGAATACGCGTCTCTGCGAAGCGTCAAACGTATGGGCAGTAGTATACATCAACGATAAATGCGGCAATCCTGTAACTAAACCAATCTTTACGTTTCCTCAACTGAACGATTTTGATCTCATAATCTGACGTTTCAATTCCCATAGTATTTAGAAGAAATAAAAAAATAATTAAATCGTATTTATTAAATAATGTTTTTTAGAATTTTAGTGCTTTTTTTTTTAATATAAATGTATAATTCAATTTTACCGCTTAATCTGATTGTACTATCATCTCTTTTTGATTCGTCCGTACGGAGCGTAGATAGCACGTTTCACAATCAGTCACGTCGCGATTAATTCGAACGTGCAGCCAGTAAACCACAGAAATCAAAGCCGGCGAGACAAGTCGGCCATTTGTGTAGCGGGGTGTAAGTGAATGGGTGAAGGGGGATACACACGACGGGTGACAGAAAAATTTCGATGGCCCCAGATGCGTCCGTGGCCGGTCCGATCGAACTTTAACGTCGTTTGCAACCAGGTTCCCGCGGCCGCGCCGCATTCTCACGTCCCATTGCGAAACTGTCGAAACTGTCGAATCCTGGACAAAGGGCGTATAATGTGAAAGTTCGAAACAGAGAGACCGACGCGACGGGAGAAGAGATGAGATGAGAGACGGTGCATGCGCGCAAGAGGACGGGGACGTTGCATCGCCTCGCGCGATACGACACGGCGGAAGTTCTTCGACCGTATAATATTCCACGTACGAGTTGTCACTTCGCGACCGCATTTCAGTGACTAATGAGCGCTTTCGAAAGCACGTTAGGTACTGTCAGATACACGCTCTGTTATATCGTGGACCTCTGTGAAGGGATCTTGATACATGCACACGTACGAGGTGTGTGTGTGTGCTCCCTCCTGCGAACGTTCTCTCTCTCTCTCTCTCTCTCTCTCTCTCTCTCTGTCTGTCTATTTCCCCTTCTATCTCTGAACGTGTGGGTGACGCGCGCGTACGACCGGACTTATCATCCTTCTACACGAATGTTATACATACATACACTAGCTGCTACCATGAGGAAAGGAAACGATGTCCCAGCTAGAAGACACATGTGTCGAGAATGTCTCCAGACTGGAGTTAATTAAAAAGAAATGCCGAGGGAACATTTCCAACCCGGATACTTAAACGCCGATTGAAATTCTAAAGCGTGATCCAATAGATATTTCAATGTCACGCTGTGATAAACAAAACAGCGAGAAAAATTGGTATTTGTACGCATAAATCTTTTATATAAACTGCTGTGTAAATCAGTTCAATTAGTTTATTGCTAATTTAATACATTAAAAAACATGCACGTGTCAATTTAAACAGTATCATACGACTTTCAAAAGTGGATCGTAGCACCAATATTTCTACCAATCCCCTCTCACTTCGATACTCGTCCCTATGAAAAAATCTTTTTGTTACGGTGAAAAAAAGAGTTCTTGTTCGAAGATGCATCTGTATAAGTAGCGAAGATCCGAGACCCGTCGCGTTCCTCCGTTCCCTTAAAAAATTCCAAATGCATCTGCATCTGTGCTCCAAGGGAAAACTTTGATTTACCACGAAATGAAAGGTTCTTTTATACTAAAGAGACAAGCCGCATCGTACTTTATACCTTTGTTTTTCTCCCTCTCTTCCCTTTTCGAAATAAGCAACCAACATTTTAAATAGACCCCTCGTCTGTAGTCGTCCCGCTCACGGACTTGTTCTCCTATCGTGCTTTTCAACAAAGGAATATTCTTTATGCATTATAAAACTTTTCGGAAATTCGTAACATAAATGATGCCTACAAAAGAAGCGCGCTAATTTTTTTCCCTTGAAGACAACGTAAATAGGTAAAAAAAGAATTACCGTATTGCATTCATATTATTAATGAAAGCAGATTGATTGTATTATATTTATGTTAATTAATTTCAAAGATGGACCGACGTTCTTAACAGTAAAAAGATCCTGACTTACCTCGCTGCTGTTATTAAATTGAAAACTGGACTTCCGGAGTAATTTAAAACGAAGACTGATAAAAACAAGGAAGTAATGAATAATATTTAACCGTATTAGTAAAACAAAAGACTTGCTGCATGTGTTTTTCGTTTCGAGGTATAATGATCGCTGGTATTATTCCAGTTTTTCTTACGGGCAAGAAACATTCAAGTTTGTAAATCTAGCTTAATGAGAAATCTATAAAATCGTAAGGAAGTTAATTTAATTGTTATCGCATTTCGTAGAAATTACATACTTCTTGTGAATCAATTTAGTAGCTGAAATTCTTCCTTTAACAACTAAAGATTTCTGTAATCAAAGATCATTAATTTTGTAGATGGATTGCTAGACACGTAGAACCTGGAAGCTTTTAAATTAATTGGGACGGTCAATTAAGAAGGAAACAACTTTATAAAAAATACAAGAAGAAAATGTTTATTACATAAATTGCGATCAATGTATACAATGCTTTCGTCGCAATTAACGTAGAATGTGGACAGAATAAAATTATTAATGTATGACCATATTGTTTGTACCATAATAAAATAATATGTATTGTAACAGGATGGATGCAATCGTCTCGCTTTAAGATCAAATTCTTAAATGATACACGTACAAACTGACGTTCATCGGTTTATAATGAAGAATACTAATAAAAAGTAAGAGAAATGTTAATCAAACAAAAAATGATGCACTCTAAGCAAATTGTACTTCTGAGATCAATCATTTGATTAGTCGAAGGCAACAAATGTGAAGTTAATAACGAAATCTCTTCACCAGATAAACCGACGAAATCATTAAAATCATTATTCAAAGGTAATCTTGAATTCGAATACAGAAATGACGTGTGGCTTATAAAACTTAAACGCTAAAGATAATATCATCGTGTATGTCTATGATGTACGTATTGTTTCTCCATAAAAAAAAATGATTGCAATAATTCGATCCCCATTTTTAAACTTTTCGGAGCCGGTCGTTTTGTTTAAGATAACGTAACATTTCGTGTAGGCTCACAGCGAGGAGCAAAATCGAATCAATAAAATCAATTTACGTACGACGAGAAAAAAACCTTATTTACCGCGATAGACAGTTAATAATAATCCATGGTAATTTAATCAATACGTAGTAACTATATAGCATTTTATTAATCAATTTCCTTTCGGTTCAAAATGTATTGTGCGTTCATTATAAAAGTAATTAGAATCACGATATATGAGACTTGATTTGGATGCTACAGAAAGTATAAAACAGGACGCGATGTTCATCGAAGTAAGATAAATAAAAATTATGTGACAAGAGATTCTTATGTCTACGGTAATACGGGAACGAATTGAAAGAGTTCTACTGGTTCAATTTTGCTCGTTGCTGTGGTAAGTACGTTGAAGTACTCTAGCAAATAAATATATAAGGGGGACAGGCAAACATGAGCTGATGGAACAAGCGTGCAAAAGAAATTTGATCACGTTCACTTTGCATATCAGTTATTTACTTCGTGTGCTCGTCGTGTTACTCGAATTTAACAAAAACACGTATCAAAAATATGAAAAACTATACACGTTGGCATTTTGTGTTATACTGACAAAAACGTTGCCATTAATTTCTATATTTACACCATTGTTAGAGCCGTTTTATCCTATCTCGGCCCTACCCTAGCAAAGCATTCTTACAATTATTGTGCAAAACGCCGACGACGGCTAGTTTCAATTTGTTGAGCAATAATTAACAGAAATGAGGACGTGCGAAATTTGATTAAACGAGTTTGACGGTGGATAGTAATGAGACGTAACAGATTATTCGATTCGAACTAAATACGTGTAATGCAATTTACCAATGTTATTGTGCCTTTATTCACTTTCCTCCTTTTTTTTAACGAGTACGTCCACTTTCACTCTACATTCGACTTGCACGTACTTAACAAAAACGTTCGAAACTCGCTGACGTTGGAGAACTTCGAGTAGACTCCATTTCATGGTTGCTTCGGCAATTAAGAAACTTGTTCCATGATCCTACTTACACAGAGATCTCTTTTTCATCTTCCACAGGACAAAAAGGAACGTCGCTCGTAATCTCTGATTGTTCGCTTGTTTATGCACAAAGAAATGTTCTTAGAAAAATTACGCTAAGCCATGCAGAATTTAATTATTAGAGATTTAGGAAAGAATTAAGGTTTACTTTTACATTTTATGACACAGTCAAATAACTCGGTATACGTTCCCATTTATAGGACATATACGAGAATATACATATTCTTATATTTTCGAGTGCGTAATGTACAAAAGTTCAAAAGTCGACTAACACTTTTAGAAATGAACGTGGCCGGGGCGAAGGTGACTCGTAAAGAACCCCGTGTTTTTACAGTTCCCGCAAAGCAATCCAACGCGAGCAATCACGGCTGCCGACAGAGACGATTGGAACGCGAAAATAGTCTCTTAAAAGTAAAACGGTTGAATCTAGCGAATCTGAAAATGATAACGACGATAATCCGTTGAATTTCTGGAGCGACGGGAGGCGGTCGCGGCGCGCAGGTAAGCATTACCCTAAAAAAGGAAATCTTTACAACCTTCCGGCAACAGTCAGCTCAGTTTTATGTACAATAATCTCTACCGCGGTTGTGAATTTATTCATTCGGCCATCTTCGCTTTGTAGAATTTCGAAATGCCATAGTATCCCTTTATGGGCTAAGCGCCTGGACCGCCCACCGATTTTTATAATCCTGCATCGGTGTATCCTTTGTTTACGCACGCGGCACGTAGGTACACCTCTAGCAGCACTCGTATAATCTGAACTTGCTTTTTTAATTCTACGAACGGCAGAAGAGAACAATTCTGGCACTGATCATAGGTTCCAGTAGGTGAAATAATTAATCTCAGAGTCAAACGTTTTGTTAAACATGGTCGCCCCAGACTGTTACCATTTTTGCCCTGTCCACCGATGCAAGGTAGGTACCGTGAGGATGCCAGGAAACTGCTGTCACCACGGCTCTGAAAGAGATCACATCTATTAAACAGGTCGTTCTATTTTTCTACCGATCTCGTTTCACGTGTCCATTATAAACGTAATGGTAAATTCATTATGTAACGTAAGACGGTGATTTGCATAACAATCCTCTCGCAAAAATGTCTAAAAATCGTAAAAAACCAGCCAAGAGCCATTAGTTTGTTTATAAAATAAATCTAGAGACACATTCAGTAT